AGAATCGATATTCTCCCGATATATATATATCCTATTTATACACACGTGAAATGTCGCGGAGTCTCGCGGAGAGAACATGAAGAATTCGCGGGGCAGGAAGCTTTCGTGCTGTGAGCGAGTGCACGTGCACTCGGACCTGTCCTCCACCTCGTCGATGGCGTTAACGCATCGCAGACTTCTAACGGGTTAGTTGTCAACGTTTATCGACATAGTTGCTGCCTCTCGCTAGGCTGGATAGATCGATCTAAATCATGCAATCTCGTTCGTTCTCTTGAAAACGTAAAAGTTATTATTTCGACAAGAAAAAATGAAGTAAAGATTTTTACTACTACTCTATTCTCTGGACGAGATTGCAAAATGATTTGTTTGTATTGGTACCAATTCTCTCTCAGCATTGATTATTTCTGCAGTAGTTACTTCTTTTTCATAGGGACAGATTCGTACGCTTCCATTTCATTCCAGTAACACAATGCGTATATATTGTCACTCGTTCTGATAAGATTACGAATCTATGAGATAAATCAGGCGTTAAATTAACACAGTGTCTCGTGAAACAATTACTCGACAATATTGTTATTTACGAAAAAGAAGAGAAAATTAAATTCGCAAAAAACTAGGATATAATTCTATTTAATTTGTTTGCCAATTACTAAAACCTAAAAGATTGTTAAGTTTGCCAAAATTTTCCAGTTAAGGAAATACTTACGTTAACGAATGTATATCATTTATTTTATTGAAATACTAAATGACATAAATTTCCCTGAACAAAACTGACATTATACAAAAGGACTCCGTTTACTTGCATTGGCACAGATACTTTACATAACGGGAATCATTTTCGTTCAGGTAGATGACTCCAAACCAGCAAAAGTTCGAACAAATGAAATTCATAAATGAGAATTGCAGCGAATTTGCAATATCGAGCATCGTTCGCGGAGGATCGAGAATGTCGCGCCGATGGAAACATTCTTGCCTGGTTCGCGTCCTTTGCGGGCATTCAAGTCTCTCTAATTGCCAGCGCGCCTTCTCTGCGGGGCGTGCACGATCCCCTTTCGATTTTATTCCATGTTTTATATTAGTCGAACGTCACGGCGAGGAAAATGCTGCATATTTTGCCCACGAGATGAAATTCGTGTTGATCTAACTAGGTGACAAGAGAGAAAGAGAGAGAGAGGGGTTACAACGTGACTTAAAGTACCGCGGCCCACGTGGTCTGCTCTTGATAATTGATCATTTCCCTCGTCGACGCGTCGTTAAACGCTTCTGTTCGCTCGGTTCTCGACACGAGATCGCGAACCGCCTTGAATTTAGGTTATTTTCTAATTGCACGCACTTTACCGTAACTTCCGGTCTCGCGGTGCCGCGCACCACGCTCGCTGCCTTCTTTTTTTCTTCCTTTTGCCATTTTTTGACAAGATTCACCGCAGAGATATCTCGTCCCTGTGTTGTTCATTCGTTGTTATCGTCTCGACGAGATCTGTTCAAAACCAGGTAATTGTTTTATCGATAGACTGTGCATGGATGTCCGTGCACTCGTCTGAAGGTTACAAAACTGTAACACAAGTCATTAAAAATTATTATTTATAACGTCTATTTAAATTGAAAGTGCAATGTGAAGTCAGGTTTGTTAGATTTTGGTTTGTGAAAGTTGATGATCACACGGCTCGTCCCATTGTGCTGTGAAATATTTGTTAAAAATGATGACTCGCATTGTTTCGCTGAAGGACTTTTGTACGTCCTTTTGTTCGCCCATCATGGTAGAACACGCACTCTTTGCAACGTTTAACGCGCAGAGCAATTCTTTGTTTCACTTCTGTTTCTTCGGTTGCGTCAGTGAAAAAAAAGAAAAAAATCGAAATTTGCATAAAAATTCGCAGCCTAACGATTCGCGACGAGTTCCTTTTCATTTTCACGTATCTTCTCCGGATTGAAAGTGGCTTATTGTTTTACGTCGTTGTAAAGTAGTACACAGTTGTACAACGCCGATCAAAAAGTGAAATGTCAAATCTGCTTGTGCAAGGACAAAACACGATTCACAGAAGAATCACCACTTACGAGAACAACTCGAAAGGAATTTACCATTCCTGGAATAATGTTGCTTAAAAGCAACGAATCGACGTTCCTTATCTTTTATCCAAATAAAACACACGATTCTCTCTTTCAGAGCTCTGATTTTCTTCGAAAGAACGTTTTTTTTTTT